TCCGGGCCTCGGGGTGCCCGCGCCCGGCGGGTCTCAGAGCGGCGCGCGTCCTCCGGGCCCCCACGGTGGTACTGCGTGGCGGCCGGTGACACGGGGTGCATGGGCGCCGGGTCCCGGGTCCGGCCGGCGTGCCCGGGAGGCTCTAGTCCGCCCCTGCCTTATCGCGGTGCCTGGGCTTGCCGAGCCCTGTGGGCCCTTTCAATCCCCATTGCTCCCCTCCACCCAGTACCCACCCACCCCAGGCATTTGCTACCCTATTGTCTATGTCCATAGGTAATGCATATATCCATACAAGATCTTTATCTAAACTCTTCCCACCCCCCAATGGCCCCTTGCCTCTGAGAATCGTCAGTCTGTTCCATTTCCATGCCCCTGATTCTATTCCATTCATCAGTTTAGTCTGTTCATCAGATTTTTTATTCATTTATTTTTAGATTCAGTTGTTGATAGATATGTATTTGTTGCCAATTGTTCATATTTTTTAAAATATATTTTATTGATTTTTTACAGAGAGGAAGGGTGAGGGATAGAGAGTTAGAAACATTGATTAGAGAGAAACATTGATCAGCTGCCTCCTGCACACCTCCTGCTGGGGATGTGCCCACAACCAAGGTACATGCCCTTGACCAGAATCAAACCTGGGACCTTTCAGTCCTCAGGCCGATGCTCTATCCACTGAGCCAAACCGGTTAGGGCTGTTGTTCATATTTTTTATTTTTATCTTTTTCTTTTTCTTCCTCTTCTTAAAGAATACCCTTTAGCATTTCATATAATACTGGTTCGGTGGTGATGAACTCCTTTAGCTTTTTCTTGTTTTAAAGCTCTTTATCTGACCTTCAATTCTACATTATAGTTTTGCTGGGTACTATAATCTTTGTTGTAGGTTCTTGCTATTCATCACTTTGAATATTTCTTGCCACTCCCTTCTGGCCTGCATCGTTTCTGTTGAGAAATCAGCTGACAGTCGTATAGGCACTCCCTTGTAGGTAACTAACTGCTTTTCTTTTGCTGCTTTTAAGATTCTCTCTTTGTCTTTTGCTCTTGGCATTTTAATTATGGGTCTTGGTGTGGGTCTCCAGGGGGTTGCAAAGTCAGCCACTGCCAGGGCCACCCAGCAGGAGCTACAAAGAGATCCGCAGATGCCTTCTCTTTGTATACGGTTTGGAAGTGTCCAGATGAGGCTCAGCTGTGAAGCAAGGCAGGCTCCTGCTGGTGTGGGTCTTGAGCCTTTTATTGATAGGTTTGGGACTCCATGACCCAGCTGCAACTTGTTTGACAGGTTTTAGCCTGAGAAAGGATAGGCCATTCATTTGCAAAAGCAGCTGCACACAGCTTGAGTGGGGTTATAAATTGGGTGGGGTGGGGTCGCAGAATCTCCAGGGCTGAGCAAACAGAAATGGCTGCCAGTCAACCCTACAATGAGGTCCCAGAACAGGAACAATGACTGCTGCGAACACCTCCATCTGGAAGAAAGCCACCCGAGTTCCTGCCCTGATGCCAGACAGGCTAATTTCTCCTAGTATGTGTCTGGGTCACCCAGAGCCTTGCCAGCACTGGAGCTCAGAAGAGGTGGGAGCTTGTAAATTCAGTTCATGGTTCAGGCCTTTTAAGAGGAGCAGCTGGGTCTCCAACAGCCTGTGTGTCACTAAGCCCCAGTCCCCACTGGTTTTTACTGCCCATAGTTCTTACTGCTCATAGGGACTTCTTTTCACACCTCTGGGACCCTGGGCTGGGCGTCTGGTGTGGGGCTGGGACCCCTTGCTCCTCTGGGCAGCCTCTGCAGAGGCAATCTCCCTCCCAATTAAAAAGGCGATTAAAAAGCAGCACACGTGGGTGCCTGATCAGCCTGCTCCACACCTCCTACCAGTCTCTGTATGCTTTCTTCTTTACTTCTCTAGTTGCAAGACTTCCATTCAGTCAGCTTTCAAGGTTTTGGATGATGGTTGTTCTATATTTTAGTTGTAATTTTGATGTGGTTGTGGGAGTCAGTGAGTACAGGCGTTTGCCTACACTGCCATCTTGGTTCTTTAAGCCAGTTTTCATATCAGGAGGTGATTTGAAATTAGAATGTGCTTGCATGCTTTGTTTTACTCAGGATTCCTACCATGGTGTCTGAAATGTTTTAAAATAATCTGTCCTAGAGATCAACCAAAGGACTTGTATGCATGCATATAAGCCTAACCAGTGGACACAGACAACAGGGGGATGAGGGCATGAGTGGGTGTTGCGGGGGGGTAATAGGGGGATAAGGACAAATATGTAATACCTTAATAAAGAAATTAAAAAAATAAATAAAAACTGGAAAAAATAATCTGTCCTTTTATATAGTTGGGTCAGATTTACAACATCAATTTCCTTAGCAAACAGGTTTATATAATAACTATGAAGTAAAAATTCAGCCAATTCTCTTATTGATAGCTTTCCTTTCTTAATTTGTGAGGCCCACATATTTCAAATTTAACTTAATTTGTGGCAACTAGCAAAATGATGTTTGTTAAATCTAAAATGTTCACCTTTAAAAAATTTAATTTTGAAAAATCCATTTAAAAAATGGAACACATGATCATTAATCAAGAGATATGTATGGATAGACTGTGAAAACTATATCTCTCTTGGACACTTCCATTCCCCTCCCAAGAAAACATCACTGTTTATCCTCACTTTTTACATTTTAAATAATCCTCAATATAATGGAAGCTCTCAGCTTCTATCTTATTGAATATAATTCATTATTAAAGCAGATTATGAGCAATAAAAGAGGTTAATAGTAGTGACACTACATATGACATTTTTTCAATGACAAAAAATAAGTAAAATAATACAGTTGAGAAAAAATAAACTCATTATTTTTGAGTGCCTGTGCACCCAATGATCTATAATTATTCTATTTCCTTCATAACATTTACTTTTAATTGTTCCTATTTTAAAACAGTTATCTGCTGAGTCCCATAAAATTTCAGTTTTCATTTTTGGGTGTCTTTGTAGTTTTTAAACAATCACTACTATGCCTAGTTCTTAAAATGAAGATGAAGCGATATATTTTTCTCTCTTTTTGCCTAACATACAAGTAAGTAACACATTTGTTTAATAAAAGTTAATTTGAAAATGTACACTTTTATTTTTCTGCATAACATTTACTGTATAATTTTCATTTTAAAAAAATTAACTGTGAATGTAAGTTACATAAAAACAGTTTATTTTTTTCACTCCTTTATCACCAATGCCTTGAGCACTGCCTAGTGCATAGAAGTGTTCTATACATGGCGTGAAGGAATTGAATGAATGAATGAACAAATAAAAAATTGGTTTATGTATTAAACAATTCAAGGGAATCTTCAAAGCACAACTTTAATTTGTATTCCATTATTTTTTGGATGTTAATAAAAATTAGGCTCAGAGAAAATTATATGTAGATGATAATTAATTTATATTTTCAGTTAGTTGCATAATATACAAGGCAACTATGATGCCTATGGTAATAGATGCCTTGTGAGGTTCTGAAGACAGATATAATATTCTTAAATTATTTAATGTGTGTGCTTGTGTGTATATAACCACCAGCATCCTGAAATGCAGTTTTTCTCTTCATCAGGTTTAAATCATCACATAATGATCAAAGCACGTAATTTAATAGGGTCATTGCCTTCCTAGTTACCCAGACCCCAAGCCTCAGAGTTTGCTTTCATATCTTTTTTGTGTCTTCTTAATACACACCACGTTTGGTTGATTCTCTTGCCACTGATAAAATTACTTGTGCATTCATTTGGGAACTAGCATTGTTTTCTCTAAAGGCTCCATAAAATTAATTTTATCTCTCCAACCATATTTTTAGCTTTATTATAAGTTATTTGCCTATGTATTAGCTAGTTGTGTACATAACTGTTTTTCTACACAAAATTGGTGTGTGTGTGTGTGTGTGTGTGTGTGTGTGTGTGTGTGTGTGATTATATAGCTTCCTGAGTAAAGTCTTTATGCATCCTCTTATGTAAAACAGGTGTTTACCCAGTGTCCACTACATTTGTCATTTATCATACCATTTAGTTTTGCAAACAGCATAAAATATTTCTGGAAACTTCTCAGGGAAACTTTGATAACCTATTTGTTACTAAGGGTGGAAGGTTCTGAAAATTATTTTATTTTCTAAAATATCCTGCAATATATCTTACCATTTTATTTAAAATCTTAGAATTATGTCCCTGTTTTTATTTTCTGTGTGGATGCAATCATGGCAGTAATGACAGGTATGATGGTATTCAGACTAGAGTTTCATGGATTCTGCAGAAGGAATGACTTAGTGGGATGTTCCTAAGAAAGCAAAGGCCTTTCTATTCAAGGCTTTTAATTCTGTCTTCATGGGGTTTTTTGTTTTATTATTCCAAAGGAAAATTTTTCTAAAATTTCAATTTTTTAAATAATAAGAATCCTAATGTCAGAGTAGATTCACTCTTCAAAAATGAAAGTAGTATGTCTTGTGTATCATTCTTTAACATGTATAATCCCAATTAAAGACAATGTATATATTCTTTGAAAATGAAGACAAATTTCTTCTTCTTCACTTTTAATTTGGCTTGAGGTGAAGTTCTGGTTAATATTCTACAGGTGGTTGTTGATCCCCAGGTTTATAGGCCTTTTCACTGACCATTGTGTGCTCTTTAGGAAGACAGTTTAGGACCAAGCTGCCTATTGAGTAGAATGGCCTTTGGTTCCTTAAACGATAGAATTTGTGTGGCTAAGAGAAAAAGTTGTGATGTTTTCCCTTTGCATACATTTAAATTTTTAATACAAATTTCTGCAGTTACTTGTGTTTTATAAATCAAATTATTATCCTCATACATAGTGTCATTTAAAGTGCTAAAGGTATTCTTTTTGAAAATCTGCTTAATTATAATATAAAAATTGTGGGTAGGTTTTACTGAATTAACACTTGACTATTCCCTCCACAGATATTTTTTTGAAATGATTCCTTTTGCCTGATAACATCATGTGAAATTTATTTTTAGGGGGATACTGCCTACTTAAGAGATCGCTGGTGTGTTTTTGATGGAGTTATGGTCGTTTTCCTTTGGGTTTCACTGGTGTTGCAGGTAATTAAAAACTTTTAAATTACAAGTGAGTAGTTTCCAAAATTTGCATTGAAAATCTAACTAGATATATAAAAGCATATATATATAAAATGCCACTGTATACTTTTCTACAACATTATATTATTTTTAAAAATTTATAAATAAAAAGACTAACATTTTAATCATTGTCAATCACATTTGTGAATTAATTCTCAATAAGAAATGAAAATCAATAGTATAAGAAATTGCTTTTTATTGAACAGGTATACAAATATATTCATGAAAAGTAAGGAAAGAACATGGGGTGAGATTTCAGTATTTGTGGAATAAAAAGAAATGGGGTACAAAAAAAGAAAAGGGGTACATATATTTAAAAGTTCTAAAGGAGGAATTTTGTTGGAAAATGGTAGAACTCATTCCCATGCATTCAATGAGTCTTAATTTTGCATTTAACTAAAGTAACTATAATCTTCATGAAAATATTCAGAAAAAATAAATTCACAGTTCATTCTGCAGACTTATCCTAGTGCTTATTGATACGCCGTCTTTGTTTTTACAAAGCTCACCTCTCTAACAGCCTAATTTATCCTGCATAGTAATGTGTTCTTTTCCATTTAATAACTATTGTATGATTGACAAACATTTTCCAATTATTACTTCACCTCTTAGTAAATGGTACATTTTTTCACATTTTCTAATAATACTTTTAATCCTGTCTCCATTATTTCATTTTCTAAATATTCAAAAAGTTTCACCAAAGAACATGCTTAGTTAGGAAGACTTAGCACCCTTTTTACTATATTCTAAGTTGGCACTTGTTTTTGTAATAACACCTGTGCTTTGATGAAGTATACAAGATTAAGAAAATGAAGAAGATTGATGGCACTTTCATTAGCTGATGATTTGTTTCTCCTAAGAGAGCGGTAGCTTCTAGCGATACACAAAAGAAAATTGATTTCAGTAGAAAAAAATGTAGGGCAAAGTTTAGGGAACAGGATGCACCTCCTGATGCTGTTTGTATATGTCACCACTACAAACCATGCTAAGAGAAAGTCTAAACTTGTTTATTCACCTTTAAATTTACAGGTATTTGAAATTGCTGATATAGTTGATCAGATGTCACCTTGGGGCATGTTGCGGATCCCAAGGCCACTAATTATGATCCGAGCATTCCGAATTTATTTCCGATTTGAACTACCGAGGACCAGAATTACGAATATTCTAAAGTAAGCACTACTTTCACATAAGTTAAGGGGAGGAAGTTTATGACTTTTTAAAAATAAGCTTTACCTATTTTATGTTTTTTTCCCCCCTAGGCGATCAGGAGAACAAATATGGAGTGTTTCAATTTTCTTACTTTTCTTTCTGCTTCTTTATGGAATTTTAGGAGTTCAAATGTTTGGAACATTTACCTATCACTGTGTGGTAAATGACACAAGACCAGGGTAAGTTTATCTCCCAACTGCATTTTAATCTAGGTGATTAACAAGGATATTTTTGCAATTCTCATGAGAAAAAGCTCGGTATCTAAAATTTTTAGAAGTTTTTATGTGTTCTCTCTTCTATATCCTCTGCTTCCTTGAAATTGTTTTGTCCAATTCTTAACACGTGTATTCAAGACAAGCCAAACTGAAAAATCTAACCCCTTGGGAGAGTAGATTAAGCAAATTTATTTTTTAAAATATATTTTTATTGTTTTCAGAGAGGAAGGTGAAGGAGAGAGAGAAAAACATCAATGATGAGAGAATCATTGATCAGCTGCCTCCTGCACGCCCCGTACTGGGGATCAGCCCTGCAACCTGGGCATGTGCCTGGACTGGGAATGGAATCATGACTTCCTGGTTCATAGGTCAATGTTTAACCATGAGCCACATGGCCCAGCTGGATTAAGCAAATTTAAGGAATACATTTATAAATTTTCCCCAGTGTGGCAGAATTCCATCAGAGTAAAATAAGAAGGGGATGAAAAATGGTATAACTACTTTGAAAAACAATTGGCCAGTTTCTTAAAAATTGAACGTACACCTACTATATAGCCCATTCATTCCATTCTAAACAAATTGTAGTTATATCCACATAACGAACACTATAGCAATAGGTAGTATGAGATATTGTTGTAAACAACACCTTGGATGAATCTCAAAATAATTATGCTGAGTGAATGAAGCCAGATGAAAAAGATCGCATATTTTGTGGTTTTATTTATATAAAATTTTAGAAAATGCAAGCTTATCTGCAATGATAGGAAGGACATCAGTGGTTGCCTGGGAGATAAGGGTTGGGATAGAAAAGGGAATTACCAAGGGGCACAAGCAAACCTTTGAGATTGATCGGTATGTTTATTATCCTGATGATGTTTCTATACATATGTGTGGTAGATTTCACAAACTGTACATTTTTAATACTAGATGAGACAAAAGTAGGTTTATAATTGTATATAAAATAACACAATAATTAATAGTAGTAATACAAGAATAAACTGTTTTGTGTGCTCACAGCTGTAAGCCACTTTTACCCCATCCTATATGTACAGTTTATTTTCAGTATACCTTACTAAAACTGTTTGGAATTGTTTTAGTGTGAAGCCGAAATCGAATTTTCTTCATATGGTCAAGTCAGTTGTCCTAGCACTATTTATTGTGTGTTATTACTTGCTGAATTTGATACTACCTTTGTAATTTATGAATTTCCTGTCTATGGTTGGGTCTGTAGCTCTGGCTGCTATTTTGCTGTATTGATCTATCTGACTATCTCTTTATCAATATCACTCTCTGAAACTCATTGAAATTACAACCTGGCTTTATGCATAGGGTCACAATTCCAGTTCCCAGTCTTACAGGCTCAGGCCCCTGTCTTCTGCCTCATGTGCCATTAAAATCCAAGCTCCTGGATACTGGATACTGGATACTTAGTTCTCATTCATAACACTTTTTTTGTCAACTCATATACTTCCCTAGTTATTAATTCCCTCTTATGTTTTGACATTTTGGAATGTATTTTTCTTTCTTGTGAGCCTAGAAATTTTTAAATGTTATCATTTATCCAGCAGTTCTTGTTGTTTGTAGTGGAGGGAGTGGAATTTAATGTCGCCCATCTTGCCAGAACCAGCATGCTGGCACCCATAGCAATTTTTTTTCTATTTTTTTCATGACACTGTGAGGTCATTGAGGACACATACGGCAAAGAGTGGAGAATATTCATTTTCTTATTGCCAGTACCTGGTATCCTAGCACAGAATAACGACCTGGTAGCTATTTACTGAAGGCATGGTTGATGATAGATTACATTTAGACAAATAATAGTATGGCACATTGATAAAGAAGAGGGAATAAAAAAAAAAGAAAGAAAAGCAAGTTGCTAAAGGGACAAAGGAGACATAGTTAAAATATTGAAAAGCAATGTTAAAATTAGAGAAAAGCATTAGATGGTACAAACACAGGGTAGGAAAGTTGAAGGAAGTGGTAAAGGAGTTGACTGCGCAAGCGGCAGAAGAGACAAATGTGTGAATAATACCTGTAGGCAGGTGTTTTTTAAGTGTATGTGGGCTGTAGAATATGTCTGGATTATTCCATGAATGAATGTGAAGATGGAAAAGATGTGTGGGTTGTAGACAATAGATATAAAGGTGAAGAACCGAGAAAGCTTCTGACTAAGAAAGCAATTGTGTTATAGCAGCAATGAGTACAGGAGGCTGATTTAAACTTACCATTTCATTGAAAAAAAAGTCAGAATCTGAGAATTTGAATACTTGTTAACACAATGAAAAGATCAGGTATCATGCTGGCAAGCTACACTTTGTCACATAAAATATAAAACCAATTGGGAAGACACACATGAGTACCTCTGAACTCACAGCCCTTGAATGACTTTAGTTAAGTACTCTTCATACAGCTCCTTACAATACTCAGTATGAAGAAATAAATGTCTTTGAAAAAAATATTAAAAGACCTTTTGTATTCTGAATATTAGCTCCAGTTCATTATCCGAAAAGTTGAGTTCACTTTGAAAAATTACATAACTGTTGGCAGAATTTTCAGTTACTTGAGACATAACAGTTATGAGGGAATGTCTGCATTTTCTCTCTTTTATTTGTAAAATCTGCCCAATAGCATTATGTACACACACATATATTCTGCCTTCTTTGTATGTGATTCTTAGTTTATTAGTTGAGGAGAAAATGAATAACTAGCCACATGGTAGTAGTGTTGTTCATTAAAAATTTTTCATACGTGTGATGGTTTATTTCAAGGACCAGTCATTTATACCATTTTTCTTTTAATTTTCAGTTTAGTAGTAGCTGAGTTTTGAAGTTCCACTCATAAGTAGAAAAACTGTTGATACCATTTTACTATTATTTCTAGCCCAGACATCAATTTACCTATTTTTAAAACACTCAAAAAATAAAATGCATAAAATTCCAATTAAAAATTTCCCAAATTTTTTCTTTTTTTTTCTTTTGTTCTAAGAATTTCTTAGATGTTGCAAAGAGCAATGTCTCTGAGCTAGATGTTAAGCTACAGTATGATGGTTCTGTGTCCAGCGATCAGTTTTGCCTGTGGTGTCATGACCTCATTTCTCTTAATTGTTGTCCTTTAACAATAGTTCCAATTGCTGCTTAATTGATTTGCATGCACTATACCCAAATATTGGGAGAATTTTCAGGCATAGAGGTGTCTGTTCAGACATCTATATATCCTGGATTCCACAGCTCACCTCTGGAATTGATTATGCTTAATCTGTGAGGCAAACAAGATTAATAAAGAAACAACACAATACACATGCTTGTGCTTTTAAATGGAGCTGACATCTTTTGAAGCAGACAGAGGGGAATCATAGCTATGTCCTCAAAAGCATTATTAGTAAAGCTTTAGAGTCTTCTCTAATGATGAGTGGTGACCCATAGAAATTATGGAACAAGTAAAGCAGTTCATAAGCTAAAGACAGCTGCAAAGAGCAATGTCCTGTGGCAGAAACAGGTGTGCAAAACACCGAATGTGATGGCAGAAGTCTCCCCTAAAAAGGAAAGTGCAAAAATGAGCTGGTAGTGAAATAGAAAAGATGAAGTCTTACTTCACCTTATTATTATTCCTTATTATTATTCCTACTCATGGCTGAATATCTAATAATAAAATCTTATTCCCAAGAGTGAGATAATGAGAAAAACTTTAAGGTATGTAAACCTTTACTATGCAAAAGTGTATATATAGTATAACTCAATACTTTTAGCATAGGATAGTCTATATAAAATTTTACTATACAAAGAACAGAATTCAACCAGAAGTTCAGATAAATATTTGTGATGGCTGGACCATTAGCTTTAAGTCCCCGAGGTATGGAACCATATGTCACAGATGCACTGAACAATACTGATGCGTCCCTATTGTGTCAGGTTAATTACTAATAGTTTCCTTTTTCATCTCAGGAGAGTCTCAGTATAGACAAAACACTATGATCACCCTGCCCAGGGGCAGCTTATAGGGCTTGTTGTTATTTTATAAAATCACTAAGACTTGGACTAGAGAAAATATAATGTTGTTTTTGGGGAGTTTTCTATTTCTGATCCAAATAAAACTTAAGTTTACTCTTTAGGGATAACTTGAAAATAAATAAATTATTGTCTTATAAATTATGTTTACAAAATAATGAGGGGTTTTTTAATGGAAAGGTCAGGAGAATTAAAAATAGAGACAGTGGAACATTGAATACTAAATTTTAATTAATGAACATTATCAAGAAAGAATGTTGTAGGGTGCATAAAATCGTAAATGCCTCAAATTCATGCAAAGGTCTATGAAATCTTGATTTATATTTAAACTTCCTTTGAAAGGTGAAGAGCGAAATTGCTACATTTAACTTCCAGGATTCATGCAGAGATATCTGCCAAGTGGGAAACATAAGAACAAGTTTTGATAAATGCATATTGGAAACATTTTCTTTAAAATATTTAAGAAGTGAAAATACTCTGATGGTGCATGTAGATTTCTAATTAGTAGAAACATTTGTAGAGAATCTATTATATCTTAGCTTATTTTGCTTATATAAATGATTTTTGGAACAGTCTGAAAGGAATTATTCCCTCCATTTTTCATATGAGGACACAGTCCCAAAGTGGTTAAATAATATGTGTCCATGTTCTAAGTGAGAGAGCCAGGATTTGAACTCATATCTAATTTCCAATTCCATGTTTATTCAGCCAGTTGAGCAATTTCTGCAATATTCTAATGCACATACAGATCAACATGCACATGCATAAACTTTTTATAATGTGTGTCATAGAGAAAATTAATATGCATATTACATTTTTGCTCTTCACCTTTCAAAGGAAGTTTAAATATAAATCAAGATTTCACGACCTTTGCATGAATTTGAGGCACTTACAATTTTATGTATCCTACAAAATTCTTTCTTGATCATGTCCATTAATTAAAATTTAATATTCTATGTT